GAAACATACTACAAACAAACAAGCGTACGTATTTCAAACAAACAAACAAACTTGCATAAAAGAGAAAAAGGATAAGAAATTCCTTACTGTAAAATTTATATTGTTAATGTTGATAGTGTTCAATAGAAAATAGTGTCACTAGCGCCCCCTTCATTTCCGGAATGCAATAGTCCCATTTCCATATAAGGTATGGGACCGACGGAAAGGTCTGTCACCGCCCCCGAGCTGCATGCTGCAGCGAAGTGTACTTGGCTTTGAGGCTCTGACGGTCACAGACTACTTCCTGGTTTAATGAGGCAGACATCCTCACCAGGACCCTTTAACATCTGGTCTCCACCGGTCCAGACTGGAGCCAGAACGCAGGCCGTCAGACTGGGTTCTGCTCAGGTCTGGGTCAGAACCTGACACCGGACAGTCCAGAGGACCAAAGGGGGGACGGGTGTTTGACTCCTGGACAGACGTCTCGCTGTCAGCCAATCAGAGAGCTGCTTCCTTCTCCTCATGATGAACTCTTTGTTTGGACACATGCTGGCATCGAGGGCAGCTTTGAGGCAAAAATTAACCCCCAGAAAAATGTGGGTTTGGACCAGAACCCAAGAGGCCACACAAGACTGACTGAGATGTTCTGGACCGGACCTGCGGGGCTGACTTGTTTTAATGATGAAGATGTTCAAATCTGCAGCTGAAGAAGAAAAACAAGAAGTTGTTTTTATTTTTGAAATAATGTAAACTGTGACAGAGACTCTTATTTTGTAGGATCATATTAAACCTTCGTGTTGTTCTGACTCTGTGGGGTCCAGAGCAGCTAAATGATCTGAATAATAAAAATTATTTATTTATTTATTAAAGGAAGGGTTTGTTGGTTTCCTCGTGTTTGACCTTTGACCTGTCGGCTCGGGTTCACAGCCTCTCTGGGGGGGTCGTGTGGGGTGGGGGGGTTAATGATGACACGGTGACGGTTTTAAACGTTTCCACCTGACTTTGGAAGAGATTCAGCTGAACGTGAGAAAAACCAACAGTTTCAGGAAGAAACTTGAGAGAATCAGTCAAACATCCTGATTCCTCTGAATCTGGATCAGTTCTCAGAAACCCCCCAGAAAGACCCCGAAGCCTCAGTCCGGGCCTAGGGGGTCACTCTGACCTCAGAACTGAAGAAATAAAAATTAAACTCAGCATCTTTCACCTCCTCCTTCCTCTGCAGCAGGAAGTCAATCACTTCCTGTTATTAAGTCTGACTGGAGGTCAGAGGTGAGAGGTGGAGGATAGGGAGGGGTGTGTGTGTGTGTGTGTGTGTGTGTGTGTGTGTGTGTGTGTGTGTGTGTGTGTGTGTGTGTGTGTGTGTGTGTG